AAAATCAGTCTTTCACATCGCCGTGGAGGACTTCTGTCCCACTCTTCTTTGCAGAATTGTTTTAATTCAGCCATATTGGTGAGTTTTCCGGATCATGTGCTCATTTGAAAGCCTCTCAACTCCAGACTTTTACAGGGCCACTCCAAAACCTTCATTTTGTTTTTTTTTAAAGCCTTCAGAGGTGGACTTGCTGGTGTCTTTCTGATCATTATCCTGCTTCTTAACCCAACTGCGCTTGACCTTCAGGGCATGAACTGATGGCCGGACATTCTCATTTAGGATTTTCTGGCAGAGAGCAGAATTCCTGATTCCATCAATTATGGTAAGTCATCCAGGTCATGAAACAGCAAAGCAACCCCAGACCATCACACTACCACTTATGACATCCTGTGTTAGTTTAGCCAGATATAATAGATCTTGTCAGTCTGAATATTGTCGGAATATTTTCCCAAAAGTCATGGGGATCATCAAGATGTTTTTGTCCAGTGAGAGACGAATCTTTGTGTTGTTTTGGTCAGCTGTGGGGTTTGCCTTGGACCTTTTTTATGGAAGCCATTTTTTTTTCAGCCTCTTTCTTACTGCAAAATCATGAACACTGACCTAAAGAACGAAAGAAAGAAATCAGCAATGGGGCAAATATTTTTTCACAGAACTTTCTTCTTGATTCTTACTGTCCATCCCTTTGAGGCTATATGACGTACAGTATGCTGGCGCTGTGGTTCCCAGAGAGTGTGTGGGTGTTTGCCTGTGAGGGTTTACAATATCTACCCACAATAAAAATGCACTGGCTCATTAGTGTATTCCATTGTGCATACAAGTATATAATTCTGCACAGTATATTACAACTTATTTGTCACACACGCAGTCAAAGGTGCCTGACCTGCAGCTACTACTTTCACATGGGGCCAGACGCCATTCTGTACCTCAGGCCCAGACTCATCAAAATGTCACACCGCATTTCCTGTTCTGATTTCATTTCCATTAATTCTCTGTTGTACGTTTTTCATCATTAGTGCTGCAAAGCCACCCAGGCTGTTGTCTGCATATCATCTATTATTTCCCCCCTAAATTCCCTTCCTCCTGCATGAGCACAGTGGAAAACAAACAGACGCTCATTAGCATGTGTGACCCGTTGGTGGTAAACAGGCTTATTTCCACATGAGTGAAGTGCGAGAATGGATTCCACCGGGACAGTCGAGGTAGGTGGGCCCGCCGGCTGCCTTCATGGGGACTTTAATAGGGACTTAACAAATGCAAGTGGACAGGCACAACATTCTCTGGCACAGGGGGTCATGTTGGTACAGTGAGCACTTGTTAGAGGGTGACTCACTGTATTTGGACTCTTGGGTGGCCACTGATATTCACTTCATTTTTAATGTGAATTTTTTTTTCTCCTCAGTGCTAATTGTTGGATTGTGACGGATGCTGAGTGCTGTCTGCCAGAGCTGAGGTAATGCGTGGCTTTCAAATAATGCTTCTGTTCTCTGCTCTTGAAGTGATGAAAGCGGCCTGTAATTACAGGGATAATCAAAACTGTCAGGGGCTCTTCTATGGATGGTTTTGTTTACTGTCTGCTTCTCTCACAGCGTCACAAGCTGCTGGCCCTCCACTTCCTCTGGCTGGGCCTTAGACCTCAAAAGATCACAGCAGTTGTATCTGTCTGAGAATCAAATGTAAGTAAAAGTCAGTTTCATTAATGGGTTGTTTTAGAAACCTGATCGGCTTTCCTGTACTCAGCTCATAGGGCTACAGTATAACAAAGTTGCAGAACAAATCAGGTGGCTCTTTTATCATTTGTCCCTCGCAGGGATTAATCTGTTCATATCAGTACAAAGTCCTGATGGGAGTGGTCGCTTTCAGGGTGCCAATGCCCCCATGCAGAGGACACCGGAGGTCCCTAAACTGTATGAAATTGATCTGCAAAACAATTATATGCTACTTTACTAATACACTGTTTGCTAGTTTTTCTTCTTCTTGTCACCTGTCTACATTTTTCCTCTTAGTTATGCTGCTTTTTCAAATAGAGATCAATATGTTGTCCAAGGAAAGGATTATAAGGATCACAGCTTCCATGTGGCATGTAAAAAAAAAGGCACATGTTACCTATAACTTCAAGAGGAATATGTCAGGTTCTTTTTGTTTGTTTGTTTTAAAAATAAAAAAAAGCGGTATAAAATTTTCCATTCAGTCTTTTTTGTCCCACACTCAGTTACGTCTGTTCCCCTCAAGGTGGCAGCATTTCAGTATCTTTTCATTCCTTTGTTGTTGCAGGAGATGCTACAACAGTCGCCACAAGCCATGACAGCATGATACCTTTTAGGCACACACATTAGGCATTTAAGTGAAAGTACAGATAAGTATCTGTACTATTAAAAAAAAACTAAACAAAACATAATTGTGTTAAAAAAAATACTCTGATAAAAGCTGAAATACTGATTCTTTATTCAAGTAAGTGTGAAAAAGGACAGGTCTGAAATTTGTTTTCGTTTTCCCCCCCAAGCCAAGTCATATTAATATCATAATTAAACAATAGTGATATAAGAGAAACCTCAACTTTAATTCTAATTTTAATGAATTCAGTTGAACATCTGTTACATAGAACATAATGTTACAGAGTGAAATTGATTATAATCAGTACACACCTAGTATAGAGCTAGTATAAACCACAAGTGAATCTGATCAGCATCATCAGCTTGAATTTGTGTGCTACCCTTGATGTGATATCACACTGACTTTGAACAACACAACTGCCCTGCACAAACTTCATTGTGGTATTGTAAACCAACCAGTGAAGCCTGCACTAAACTGGCCAGCATTTTCATGCAACCTCTGAATAATAACATTAGTACACTTCAGTTTGTTTAGCAGGGTGTTTCACAATATGAAAAAAAAGAAAACATAACTTGAGATATAAAGTTGTATTTTAAACAAATGCTCAAATTAACAAGAACATCACATGATATAACCTTTAAATTTCCAGTTCATCAAACGTCACTGAGCAGTCCTTAAATTTTTAAAATAACCTCTCTTCTTCCTCTCTTGTCTTGTCTTTCATACATCTTCCTCTACCTCTGAGTGATGCTACCTCTCATTCTCACTCTCCCTGAGAAATGTGGGAGTTGTAGCACTAGCTAGCAGACAGATTTTGTGACAAACTGCACAGAAACAGCTATGTGAATGCCAATATTTGTTGAGCTGGTAGAAATGTTGCATTTTAAATTACCTACCACTTAAAAAAAACATGTCACTGCCTTTATGCTTAGTCCTTTTCTGGTGTGCTATTTTGTTTGGTTGTTTTTTCTTTCGCCTATCTCTTTGGACGTAATAAACATCAGTGATGCATACACTCACCTTCCCTCTATTTAGGTTTAAGTGAATTTGGTATTTCAAGGTGTGAGGTGAGAAGAAATAATGATTCCCCTGAAATGTCATAAGTCTAAAGTAATAAGCCAGTTTTGAAAATATAAGAAGTAGAGAGTCTGGATATTTGTGTTAAAATGTGTTGAGTAAGAGTAAAAAAAAAAACTGTCAGAAAAATAGATATCTGAATTTCTATTTATATACAGTAACAAAGTACTTTGTTATTTATCACTATTAGTTTTAGAGGTTAATTTTCCACAAATTTCAACTTTTTCCATCTCTTGTTTTTAGCATTTTAGTGAATAATTGGTATTAGGTATGCTAAGTAAGATCAAGTCAATTTAGGGATTTTAATTGTTGTAAAAAAACAAAACAAAACAAAAAACAAAACAAAACAATATTATTATTGTATTATTATTATTGTAAAACACTAAACACTAAATACCTGAGCACCATATCGCTATCTAGTAACACCTATGTTTACATAGGTTATCATCCTATAGGAAAAGACAGATAGCATTCATAGATATGTGGAAAAATTGGTCTATACAGCTAAAGATACACAGGTGGATTTGTTTTCCCTACCGTGACCAGGTTAGTATTTTTTTTTCTGTGTATTTGAACCCTTGCTTCCCCTTGTGTATTTACAAGTAACTGCTAACAGTATAACCAGTAATTAACATTTCTGAAACACGACACAACCTTTTCAGAATAAACAGCTTGAACTCTGTGGGGTTTTTTTGGAACACAAATATTATTTCCTTTGGGTACCAATGGCAGTAAGAACATGGCAGAAAAAAGCGTATGTTTTCTTCCCTTGTGATAATTTGATTCTTAATGAGGGTCAAGTGAAGACCACAGAAACAGCATGCTGTGTTCACTGTAAATGGAAATCCTCTTTAAGGTGCAAACTTAAAGTGGTAGATTTAGACATCTTTTAGCAGGCTAAGCACTTTATGAGCTTATCTTTTGTTGCATCCTAGGGAACATGGGAAAACGGATGCAAAATTTATAAGCCAGTTAACAAGTATCATATTTGCAGTCTGAGTCCAGCCTTTGGTAAGATACCGTTTCTGTAAATTATTACATTTGTGTCATATTGCACTGCTTGGTCACAAATTGTTGGCACGCCACTGTTAAAAAAAAAGGGGGGGGGTGCACTTTTGCGCACCCCCTTTACAACTACACCCCTGCAATCGTGCAGACAGACACGGTCATTGTATAGCTGGCCCTCCACTTTGTTTTTTGAGCGGAAAACAATCCTGATCCTGGATCAGTATCCCTGATTTCCTTCATACCTCATCATCGTAAAGGTAGTCGCTACGGCGGTGCCCCGAGAGGTGACAAGAGGTCTCACTCTGTTTACATTTTTCCATCCGATTTTTAAATAGAAGCTCCAACGAATAATTGCATCCCCCTGTAAAGCCATTTTTCTTCAGAGACCCGCTATTCCCATGCTATATCCATGCTGCCGTGTTTGATGAGAATGATAGCGTAACGAACACGCCTTGTGTGGATATTATGCACTTAAAATAATCCGATAGGGTGTGCAGTGTATGTAGTTTTGCGCTTAATTCGACCAAAGATGCTCGAAACTGTTAAAAACTGAGGATTTCTCCCAATGAGCGCCACAGCAGTCACTATGGTAACTGCTCTCCGTGGTGGCTAAGCTGCAGTAAGAGCGACGCCCTCTTTCACCGAGGCGGAGTGATTCATCACACGATGCATATACGATCTGTACGCATGGCGCCGTGTTTACGGCTAACACGGCAGACTGCAGACTGACCGAAGGAGACTGTGTGTGTGTGTGCGTACCTGTGAGTTATTCCATGTAACTGCGCGAACCGCTCACTTATCTATCGACCGAGGGCGTTAGAAAACCAAAGAATTTGACCTCAACCGCAGCAAAAAGGTCAAATATTCATTTTAGCCCGCTAGTATGAAGGTGAATTACCACAACAACGCGGTGCGTGTGTGCATGATGAGCGGCTGAGGAGGAGGAGGAGGAGGAGAAGAAGGAGGCTGCGGTCTGAAGCCAGATTTTATCCTGGATATTTCGAAACAAACGCCGTGCCGTTTACTTAACGGGGCACTGTACAAGTGGAATATGTTACTGTATGCCCCAGTCCATCTCGGTCCATCCCAATTTTAGGGGAGGTTTGACCCGTTTTCTGCCTCCTGAGGATCCTCCAGCAACAGCAGCGGGACGGTGAACGGTTTTTCCTCCAGATATGGAGTGTGAAGATGCGGATTACAGAGGAATCCCCGCCGCTAGTTTAGATACAGTGGTCTTATATTCTCCAGTGCGGCGCTATCCAAGAGAAGAATAACTATGAATACATATTTTCTGACATCGGGACTAAATCGGTGATATCGCTCTCTATATATGCTTTTTTAATTTTATTTTTTTTTGGAGCACGACTGGACTCCCGTTAGGAAACGTGAGAGTGCAATCCTGCTAGCCTGTTTGTAGTAGCTATTAGCTCCATTAGCCGGCTAACAGCTAAAAGGTGCTGGCTGGAGCTTAAAAGGCGTTTTGATAACTCTGACTGGGTTTTCCCCACGTTTCCTTCCCACAGCATATTTATTTACTGGATTTAAAGTGTGATTCACTCATTCGGGGATGAGGTCTCGAAAGGAAAGGAGCCGCTTGACCTTGTTTTGGGGTCTGATGCTGGGTCTTTCGTCCTGCCTACGGCCCGCCACCGCAGAAAGTAAGTAATGCCTCTCTACGCTACTACACACACGGGCAAACTGTGTTTTTCCATGCTTCGTTAGTGTTCAAACACGAGGAAAAGGGTTATTTTTGTTAACCCGAAAAACAGTGTTTTACTGTAAATATCGCACATGTAATACTGCACTGTGTAAGCAGAGTGTTATTTCCGCTATTTGCACATTATTTTTATGCATTTAAAGTGAAAAACAGGTGTGTTGTTACTAGAAACGAAAAAAATATGGAATGTCACTTATGGTTTCACTATAGTTTTGCATTATTTCGGTCTAATAGATCATGATTTACTTTTCTACATTAAATTTGCGGTGTATATATTTATTTATCTTAAGTTGTTGTATTTATTTGGGCTTTAAATGGGCTTTTAAGTCACTGAGAGATTTTTGGGGGCTTTCTACATATGTAGGCTAGTTTGTTATGTCGAATTTATTTTAGAGGCAATTTTCCAACTTTGGAATAACTAAACTTTATCTTGTTCTATCTGACACTTATCTTATTGCATGGAATTTGCGCTTTACACCTTGACATATTTTTATGAGACAAAAGGAAATATAATTTTAACTCTTGGTGAAAACTTTTTTTTTTGGTGTGACTATAATAGATCGTTTTAATATTTTACTTGGCGTTTCTAACTACATCACAAACATGAGTCAGCGTTATGACTATTCATTTAGTTTGTTTTTAAATACATCGCTGTGACTCATAGCATGATGAATCAGAACAAACAAAGTGGAGGTATGCCAATATAAAACCCCATCAAACAAGTGGAATGTTAGGAATTTTAAAATGTAATTTTTAGTTTAGTTTGACTCTAAAATTGAGAAATAATATTTTCACATTCAGGTAAGAAAAACAAACAAGATCTCACCTTTTATATAGCTTATCATATATCACATTTAGAGGATAAAAAGAAGACGCACACCCAAGCATTTATTTCCTGTAAACATATTATATTTCGTTAACGTTTCAAGTTTTCCAGGAAAACGGCGTCCACCTGAAACTGACTTGGTTAAACACGGCCCTTACATTCAGTTAGGCAATGTTTTGTGTGCATGTTATTCACAATATAGGTTGTAATTCTTAGTAATGTTCCCTCGGGGCTGAGTGAAACTAATGCAGGTTTTTTGTTTTTTCCCCTCTCGCTGTACAGTCATTTATTCTCCTTTGTCAAACAAACCTGGGGATACCTTGACCTTGGAAATGCTTTCATGAATACCAGACACAAATCATTTGAGCGACAAGAGGCCACAGATAAGAATATTAGAATATTGTGGGGTCTTTTTTTATTATAATATATTTTTTAATGAAAAGTTGATAGCACTTTAAGGAGCGCTAATCAGACTGCATGGATTTTTCGCAATAAATAAAACTCGGTTGAGCACATAAACCTTACGACTTCTGTCAGCTTGTAAACCTTTTAATCTGATGCAGTTATATCGTCTATAAATTTATATTCCTACATTTCTTTTTTATGTGTTGCCATCTGAAACGTTTCCATGTTTCCAGCTAAACTGTAAACTGGGCTTCCCGATTCATCCCATTCATGGTGACGTGCTGGGGAGGGCTGGGTTAGGTGGGTTTTTAACCAGGGTCTGGGTTTTAAAATAGAACAAGCCAAAGTACATTCACAAGCAACACAGACCAAGTTCTGTTGATTGGAAAGACTGAGGAGCTTGTGAACTGTGTGTTATGGGGTTTTGGTTACAGGACAAACCTGAGAGCTGCAGAGAGGTTCTCCCATCGAAGTCCTGCATTTATTCTTACTCTGGTGTGGAGCTGTGTAAAGATTCCTTGTGTGGCTTAACTTTGAGCCTTTTTACTGATTTACAGTATCAGATGGCACTGAAGTTCATCTGGCATGAAGGGTGTACTATGAAGCAAGTTCTGCATAGCAGGGCTTTCTTTGTGTTAGTTAGTTTGACAGAATCTAAAAACCCAGTTGGAGATAACAGGTATAACGTTTTTGGTTACCCTAAACCTCCTACTTCAAACTCTGTGCATGTTCACATAAAGAAGGTGCGTTCGATGTCTTGTTCAGTCATTTAAGCCAATCAGAAATTCTAAGAGAAAAAGGTAATAAAAAAACTCAGCAGTGGGATATTTAAATAAATCAGTGGCAGATCCGACATTAGGAAGAGTGCAATCATAAATCTTGTGAATTCATGCACGAATATATGTATTTTTACATTCAGAGGGCTCTGGGTTCTGGATTTTAATGTCTAATGACAAAGCTGCAGATTAGCACTCAAACTTTAAAATTGATCCAGTTAAATGACAGTCAGGTCTGAAGTGGATTTCAGGTTACTGCCTTTGCTTAGGTGTTTGGCTTTTGCAATATGAAGGATTTTGGATATGGTGTGCTTGCACGAAGTTGTGCATAAAACAAAAGCACGCAGCCTGACGGTGATGACAGGTAGATGAGACAGGTGATGATTGAAAAGTGGGTTTGAACAGGAAAGAGGAGGAAAGCAGAGTAGAAAGAAATGCAAATAAATAAAAAACAAACAAACATACAAAGCACCGACAGTCTGACAATGTAACCAGAAGTTGGAACTTATGCTGTAACTTGCATCGTAACTTATGATGTAACTGGAATCTTCTGTTAACCCTATGCTGTAACCAGTCAGTCATTGTTGGCATTTGTCAGGTGCATGTCAGGTTGCACGGCTGTACCTTTTCTGCAGTGCTTCTTTATGTGATAATAATTAGACACAGCTCAAAAAGTTGCATATAATGTATTCTTTGAATGAACAGAATAGATTGTCTGTATCACACTTAGAGCATGCTAAAGATTAAAAGTAAGGGTGAAAAGGTGGTGCTTTCAGCTGATGTTAAACCAGAACTCTGAACAAGGCTATGTGCTAGGGATTAGTTACTAACCAGGTAAAAAGAGAGCCATAAAAACGAAATAAAATAATATACATAAAACTCAGATTTTAAGCTTGACATACCTTTGCAACACCTTAATCTTAATTGGTAGCACACCGCTCTGATTAAGTCCTGCTGCAGACGGAGCTTTCACATTACCCCAAACAAGTTTTATCTGTCACCGGTGATCTCTTTCTTAAAGCTTTCCATCACATTTCTTCTCACCTTGCCTCTCATGTGGAAAAGTATTTATGACTACGCTTGCCCCTCAGGCAGTCTGTCACTAACGGGACGGAAACGAGGAGTAAACAGACTTGCTGCAGTCTAGTGGCAGCGTTTGAAGCACCAGCTCAGAGGCCTGTATTGCTTCCTATTTCTTGTCTCATGGAGCTTCTAGTGGATTTCCTCTGATTGTCTGTGGACAGTCTGGATGCTGCAGGCGGCTCGGAAAAGGTTATCAAAAGTAAATATGTGATCTGGAAGCTCATCAGAGCTGCAGAGATAGGCTTGTGTACTCAGCTGTTTAAAATCTGTCAGTGTGGAAGGAGAGGGAGGGGGAGTTATTAAGCTGCTACACCTGCTATTGGTATTTTCACTTAGCCGATGCGCACAACATACATTTTGATCACGAGCTTTTGTTTTTCACAAGCGGGATGGGAGCAGTTCCCATGAAAGATGGCTTTGCTGGTGCTGCAGTGAGGCCACAGAGGGTGAACTGATGAGGCCGCCTGTGGTGATGTAACGTCACCAGGCAGTGTGTCTTTTTACAGTCCTGGGTGTTGGAAGTGTATTAGCAGGTATGCGGCTCACTGAAGCCTGCTGACAAGTAGATTACAGAGAAAGACATAACGATCATGCAGCACGCTTCCTGTTCTAAATCACACCAAGGGCTCTCCAGCCCTGCCTAGAGAGGTCTTAAACTCTACACACTAAGGGAAGCACAGTGTTTCCACTAAAACTGGAAGATAAAGAAAATAGTTTTTAAACTTAAAGTAAAAAGAATATCTATCAGATTGTCATAGATGGTATATGTCCGTCAAATAAGTTAACAGGGTTGGTGCCTTTACCGGTACTGTACATTGACCAGTCATGTGTACATGTGCTACTGCACCACCACAGATTTTTCCTGCATTAAAAAGGAGGTTTTGACCTCAGCTCATTATAATTTTTGAAGTGGGGCTTAATTTACATAAGCTTTAATAAATTTGTATTCATCAAATGGCTGAAAATATGAAATGCAGACTCTTTGCCTTATATGTGGACCAATCATCATGACTGTGATAGATAAGAGCTTAAAATAGGGATTGTAAAAATTAACATTGAAACTGATGAAAAGCTGAACTACAACTGAAACATTTTCAAACAAGAAAAAGGAAGCCAGCTACTCAAACTAACTGAAACAGAACTAAAAATCAAAATTAAAGGAAAAAAATCAAATTCAGTTCAGGTATTTACTTTAGTTCACAGAAACCTCCAGCTCCATGTGTAGCTCATGGTTTGTATCCAGGAGATGTTGGTTTCACTTGTACCCTTGTATTGGCAAGTCTTTTGTAAACGTCGCGTAGGATGACATTGGTCACTAATATATTTTCCAACATATTTTGGAAAGCTTAATAATCCAAAGTGAAAAGTACTTTTTTCTTTTTCTGTCTTTTTTTTTTTTTTTTTTAAAGATTAGCAGGAATATTACCCATCTTTATCAACAAGGCTTACAGTTGGAGGGAAGTAATGCTCTTGCTCTGATTTTATCACTTGCCTGCAGTTTGCATTGTGATGGTGTCATACAATGATTTTAATGACCTCTGAGCATTTGTTCAGTTGAGGAATTAAAAATCCAGAAAATCCAGATTTTCTTGGATCTGGTTTCATTGCAAAGTTTTTAAATTTTGGGTGATTTCAACTTTAAATACATGTCCTCATTCAAAGGTAAATGATTCGTTATTGTCAGAGTAAAACCTGGAACACTGTGCTATTGCAGTGTTGCCAATATTACATTATTCTATGCCACTAAACTGCATTGAGTGGTTTGGGAAGACATTCTGCCAGCAGAAAGGTTCATGGTGTTCTTTTCGAAATTAAACTTTGTTCCACCTCAATAGGAGCGAAGAAACACCACATATGTTTTGTAGAGTTCTATATTTTGGTATCGGCGGTACTGTCTGTAACTGATCCTGTGACATTTTGCAGAGAGCCATTTGCTGGGGTTATTTATTCAGTATCACTTTGTAGCGCACCGTCTGTCTACTCTTTATGATAATCATACATAAAACATGATTTGTTAGAAAACTGAAGGGATGTTTAAAATGAAACAATGCATTTGTTATAGCTATACCTTTGCTTTTATGGTAGATTAAAAAAAACAACACAAAACTCTCCTTTCTAGTCTTAAGTAGCACCAGACCTAATGTTTAACCACAAAATGTGTTAACTCAGAAAACAATAGTTCTTTTTCTGGGAATGTACGATCTCCCCCTCTCAGTGTTGCTTTCGTACAGTAAAACTTTATAGACCAGCAGTAAAGTAAGTAGCAGTGTGACAACCTGTTAGCTGGTTGGTGTGAGTTTTCCATGACTCAGTGCCCTCCAGCTTTTTGAAGTCTAAATCCTCCTCACAGTGATGTGTGATAATGGCCTCCGCGTTTCTGTGGGTGCTGTGGGGCTTGAGGCAAAGTATTGTGCACACCTAAAGTGAGAGGAAAAGTTGGAAAGGCAAAATCAGTCTACCGATCATCACCGATCATCACCTGTTTTGCCAAAAAATATACCTCATGCTGGTTCGGTTTTATTCCACATAGATTCCAGCACAGTGCCTCTTTTAAATCCTTCACTTTTTAGTTTGTTTGGTTTAGAGGTTGTCTTTGTCTAAAAAGAATCAGCCCACTGACTGCCTCAGTAAATAAAATACTTCTCAAGAGGTTAAAAAGAAAACAAATGTGAACAAATCTATTTTTACACTGAACATAAAAGTACATAAATGCATGTTTTTGCAATTAGTTCTCATCAGAGGGGCTGGCAGCTGTCCTTTGTTGTCTGTGCTTTGATCAAAAGCCCTAACATTTCACTTCTGACCTTGGCAAATACTTCTAATAGTTATAATACTTTTAATGTAGTTCACTACATCTTAGTTTATGTAGTTCACTACATCTTAGTTTATGTAGTGAATACTAAAGGGCGAGACATGGATCACGGCTTTAAGGGGTTAGAGACATTAGGGGTCCATCTTTGTTTTAGAGCTAAATGACACTTGTTGGGAAACTTTTGTCAAAGGCTAACAAGCTAAGGGGAACTTGCACTATTCTCTTATGCACTACAGCTCTGTGTGCTCTACTTTATCCCTCTCCCCTCTCACATACACAAGGTGAAACTAGTTGAAAAACTTGTAAGGACACATATGAGTCCAAAATGCATTAAATGCTGTGACACCGCACTGAAATTAAACAAGGACACACAAATTAGGTAAAAAATGGGGTGACCCAGAAGACAGTGGTGAAGGAATCTGATCACTGGATGGATTGCCATTATTGTCAGTGTGCCCTCAGAGGATATAACCTGTTACTCTTATCTCCTAACTTTTTCCTACAAGTTCCATGCTCACTCCCAGTTTTGTTCAGATGACAGAATGTTTGGGTCACCAAGATGTATCTAGAAGTTGTGAAAGGTTTTTATAGGTGCACCTGAGGAAGTGTAATTAGCAGTTGCTTAAGGTCGTTGCTTTCAGCTGCTCTTGAATGAGTTGTTGGTTAGTTGTCATCTTCAGCTTGTGTGGAAAATGTGCACGTCTCACAAGGAGTTTGAGAGACAGTTGTACATCCCACTGACATCAATTAGTCCTTCTTCTATTGCCTTCACATAAAATATAAAAATATCTAGATAAATAAACCTTATATGGAAAGATACCAATGCATTTAAATATAAAAAGACTGTGTGACTGTGTGTATAGTGGGAAAGGGGCATTGTATACCCAAATGATTGCCAAGAAAAAGAACAGAACAGAAGTACAAAGGATGCCCAGTTTGTCATTAGTCACACTAACTTCACCACCTTGGCTCACCTACTTCTAGCGCCCTACTTCATGTACTCATGGGTAGGACCACATCATCCTTGAACTCAATCTTCAAGTTTCTAGATGTACCTTGCACAACATACTCAACACACACATGTTGACCAAAGGTTTCCACAGACTGTCACATCTCATCTCAGGAAGCATCAAAAGTGGCAATAAATGCCTATAAAAGTATTAAAAACTGCCTTTTTGTAGTAATTTCTTGCTACTTTAGGTTTTATTTTATTTCATTTCACTTTTATTAAACAAGGAATTCTCTTGAGATTAAAATCTGTTGGTCAAGGTTCAGCTGGCCAAGAAGGAACACCATTACAAAATGAGGGATTATAAAATCCGTACACCGTGAATGCACATTCACAGACAAGGTAAAGTCATAGTACAAAATACAAAGTCCACTGTGCAACACACAGTGTTGCAGATGGAAATGACATGTTTTTGCAGCTGATTAAAAAAATCTTGAAAGTCATAAACATTATAACTGCTAAATACAGGTTTTTGGCATTGTCGTCATGATTCTGTTGGTCTGAAGCACAGCTTCACCTCACGTAGTTCCAGACTCTTGTTTCATGAAGAGTTATGTTACTACAGTACTTGTAAAACCTTGTCATCATTAATTATGTCCTTTGTTTGACAAGTTATTTTATCACATAATGTATTTGATCAACTGACACGGTGTACATGTTTTATGTACGATGTCTTTGATAGTCGAATAGTTTCTAACCCTTTGATGTTGATGCGTTACGAAGGGTTGATAAAAACATACAGCGAAACGAAATACTGTGGTTGTAATAAATGGCTGCAAGTGTAACAACAGCCTCAACGCAGAGCAATCAAAACTTTATTGCACTGTTAACCTAAGCTTGGATCGAACGTGACTCAAGTGTTTACTTTGTCACACCATGTTAAGTTGCCATTGAAATGAGAGCTGCAAGGCAAACACACTCTGTCAGCAACAGCACGGCTCAAATGTACTGTCAATATTTAAAAAATGTACTGGATAAACCTTTAGGTATCGCTATTGCAGAGCTGGAAACCACTGATATTCTTAACAGCTATTTATTGCTAAGGGTGGGTCCATGAGTTATGAATTCTCCATCATTTTTAAACAAGGTTTTGTTGTCTAGCTTCTAAAGATCAGGCAGGACCGGTTTGATTTAGCCGAGAATGCGATTGTAAAGACGAAATTGTTCTGGTTCCTGACCAGAACTTTAAATTAAAGGACACAATACAGCTTTAGTTGCAGTTGTGGCTTCTGCTAAATATTCTTAAAAAAAAAGAAGAAGCTGGGATAAAAGTTGCTTTTTTTTTTTCTTTTGCATTAATTCTGACACAAACCTCATTTTCTATCTTGTTATAATCAGATGGACCTCTTTGCATCTCTCAGCAGTGCCTTTTTGAGTCACTCCCAGTTTAGTTTTGACCTGGTCAACTATATCTATTTGAAGACGTAAAACTGGCAATGTTTCTGTAGGTTAAGTTATGGAAAGATTTAAAGGTTGTTGAAGTTCCATTTTTCTCTAGATGGCTCAGCTGCTCTGATTACTAAGAGATGATTTCATGGTTGAAAATTTTCTTCAGACTGGGACAACCACCTCACTCACGTTTTTCATTTGATTTATATTTAACATTCAAGGAAATTCCCTGCAATAAGATTCATATTTTTCACAATTTTGTCATTGGCATGATGGTAAAATAATAAATAATGAAAAATACTGGGATCATGCCTTTTGCTGCAGTTGAGCAGCTGTATTATTTAGCAGTGAAATACCTGAGGTGTTACATATTTACTTTTTGATGTAACTGATACTGACCTATGTTTTATTTTGGGTGTTTTTTTTGTTTTTGTTTTTTCTCCTCCCCTGCAGTCTGTGGACCCAACATTGATATTGGCAATGACATCACTGAATTCAGGCGTCTGGAGAACTGCACAGTGGTGGAGGGCTACTTGCAGATCCTCCTCATTGGTGACAAAAACAACAACATCAACAACCAGGAAGTCTTCCGCTCCCTCAGCTTCCCCAAGCTGACCATGATCACAGACTACCTGCTGCTATTCCGGGTATCCGGCCTGGACAGTCTGAGCACACTCTTTCCCAACCTCACTGTCATTCATGGTCGTAACCTCTTCTACAACTACGCCCTGGTGATTTTTGAGATGACCAGCCTGAAGGACATCGGCCTGTACAACCTGAAGAACATCACCCGTGGAGCCATCCGTATTGAGAAAAACCCTGAGCTCTGTTACCTGGACTCCATTGACTGGTCCCTCATCATGGATGCAGAATTCAACAATTACATTGCTGGAAACAAGCAGTCGAAGGAGTGCAGTGATGTTTGCCCAGGTATCATGGAGAACAACCCCCAGTGCAGCAAGACCATGTTCAACAACAATTATAACTACCGTTGCTGGAACTCCAATCATTGCCAAAAAGGTAAGGAAAGTGTTACAGACAAAAGCTTATCAGGGATTTAAAATGTAAATATCATCCGGGCAGCCTTTGGTCTGATTTGTGTAGATTTGAATTTACCAACCTGTCTGTTTAACTGCTTTATTGTATTTTGACGCAAGGAAGGAGGAAAGCTGGGAGGATGTTTTTATGCAAGATTAACTTGTCTGCAGATCTTTGCATTACAATTTCCCAGATGTTTATCTGCAGAGCTCAACAGTGGCATCATTTTTGGCTCAGCCCATGGTTTTGTTGTGTAAGGTTTAGGAACTACTAGTCTGTCTAATGCTAATGTATACTTGCTTGTTTACAAAAATATGTTTTTAAATGTTTCCAAAAAGAAACAGTAGCTCACATATCACAGTCAGATGTTTTGTATGGTCCAGTAGTTCTCACCTGCCTTAAAAAATGAAAACACTAGGTGAAGGAGTAAATGTTACAGAGCTTAATTAAACCGCTCCGGTTACGATGAGTGCGAAGGCGGCCTTTAATTTTGTGTTTACGACTGCAGCGTTTTAGATGACTTGTTTTGCTGGTGCTTTTCAGACGATGTGTTTTTGGCTGACTGTGTGCGTGTGTGTCTGTCTGAATTGTTTCCCTGGTGACTGGCGCCTTGCTGCAGACTCAGCATGTTGATGTTTTCTGCCTTGTGACATAGAACTGTCGCTGGGCTCGCTTGGACTGTAAGCATGTCTGTATACATGCGCGCACACACGGTAATGATCATCAAACGCATTCACAGCACATACAGAGATATAGACACATAAACAGGTAAATTACATATGCAGATATCTCTGACAAGCACATCTACGCATGGCCTGCTTCGTGAGTTGTTGGATTGACAGCGTGTGGGCATGATGGGAAAGAAATCAGAAGGTGAACTGAGCTGGAGGAGGATGTGTCGGATGGATGAATGGATGGATGTGGATGGAGGAGGTGTTAGGTGGATGAGAATAATGCTTACTGTTTGTCATTCCTCTTGAGAAATGGACAGTCTTTGTCTAGAGACTTTTCCTCTGCTTGCATTAGACACAAGGAGAAAGTACAAGATAATTTTATCATTCAGTACTTTATGAACGATGACCTAGAAAATTTACCACAAGCAATTTGTCTAAAGTTGTGTCTTGCAGGAAGGCCATGTGCCGCCCCACCTGCTGCTTCATGAAGTCAGCAACTTTTTTGTCTTAGTATACCAGTTGCACAGTCAGCGAGGAGATCAAGTGTCGCGCTGTACAGAAACAATAAGGTTTCTTCCGATAAAAGGCCATCTTTCTGTCTTCACTCGGAGATAGTAATATTGTTTTTCAAGGGGCAGAGGAAGATGAAGGACAGTAGATTAGGTTCACTGATGAACATCGGCACTGGGTAATATTTTATACATCAAGTCTGCGCACATTCAACAATGCCATGTTTGTTTTATTGCATGAATGTATTAGTAAATGTACTAGGAATCCAGTTTCCTAAATTTGAATGTTTTGAATTTGTGCTTATTCAGAGATGTTGTGATTAAGGACTTAAATCCTTATTTTAAAGATTAAGTTAAAATTTTGTCTTTGTCTTCTTGGCTTAAAAGCCAGAATATATAACAAATATAAATGTCCCAGAATGTCACAATGACTGCACAAATTACATTGTATTTGTGAAGACAGTGGGAAAACTGATAATGACAATTTATAGTAATGCAGTAATCAGCTGTCTCTCAACTAAGTCCAGTGCTTTAAACTGCAGCGGTAGTCTTTGTTCTGGTCAGGCACATGAACCAGTTCTCCAACCTCTCTAGTTGAAGGAGCTATCGTCACCAGCTGCAGCGCACATTTCTCCAGCCACTAAAGGAGGGACACTCTGGAGCTGCCTGCACATAATGCTCACTGTCGCTGCCCAACGGCACATGCCTAAAGTGACATTTCAACTGCTGGCAGGCACTTTGTGGTCTCTTCAGCTTGTCTTACACCACTTAAGTTTTGTAACCTGGTACATGTGGTGTCTTTAGGTGATATATCAATGGAGGACAAAGAGATTCACAGATAACTAAGAGGGAGACCCTGCAAGAGCTGGAAAAGATCAGACAAATAATAATAACAATAATAATAATAATAGTAATAATTCTTTATTTAAAAGGGACAGTCCAGTTTAACATAGTCCAAGTATAAAACATGAAACTGATGTACTGCACAAAAGTTTATAGCTATCAGTAATTTCCAACCATTGTCCCTTGTTGGGCTGCCTTTATGGAAAATGCTGATTGTCCAAATTTAGATCTGCGATATGATATTTTGCAATTATATTATATGGTATAGGGCTGTGCGATATGACCAAAATTTCATATCCCGATATAAGGCATCTATCGTCCCGATAACGATATAAATCACAAAAATTTAACATTTTCTGTAAATTCTGTGAATCTCGGGCAGCTCAACTTGCGTGAAGTGTTTCCACCTGGGCGTCGTGTACCTGGAGTCGAGTTTTTTAACGCTGTAATGAAACCATACATTTTTAGACTTAAGTTTTAACGGCCCCTGTTTTCTTTGTAAGTATTTATTAGGGAAAAGCCTGTTGTAACGTTTGAGTCTAAGTTTTATTTTTTAGCACCTGACGGCTCTTTTTTGCTTTTCATCCGTAAATAATCTGCTCTTTCACGTGATTCAGTTTATTTTGAAAAGTCTCAACAGGATCTTGCGCTTTATTATGAAAGGTTTATGTGGTAAATAAACAAGCGGACACGCTAACGACAACGCATAAAAACAGGCGCTTGTCCGTCCGTAGTGTGGTTATATTAAATATACGAGAAAGAGAGAACTTTAAGAAATGAATATAGCCACTACAGTGACCATCAAAACGATGAAAAAATATTGTCGTAAACAGTTTATTTTGCGACACCATGAAACAAACGATAGCATAAAATGAAACGATAGATGTTTTTATATTGTCATCCGATATATATCGTTATATCGAACAGCCCTATTATAGTAATGTGATTACTATCTTGTCTTTGGATGTATCTATTAAGACACTCTGGGACCAGCCTATTTATACACTTGAAGACTAATTTAACAAAACACAAATGATTGAAACTCTTAAAACTAAGTAAATTATATTTCATTAAAAGTTGTGATGCATAAAGTAATTAAAGTAGGAGTGGGTATCATCACTGATTTCTAGAATCAATTTGATTCAAAAGGTCCAGATTCGATTCGATACACGATTCGATTAGATTCAGTTTTGACTCAGACGGTCAGAAATATTATAATTCTGATCATTTATCAGTACTGACAGTTGTGAGACCTAATCAGAGGTGTAAGCATCATAGCAGATGCCTTTGTGCCAAAGTAACTGAGGATAAAACACAGAAAAACATGAAGGAGATTTTCCTGGCCTGGCTTTATATAGTAGATATTCTTATATAGTTCTATATTGTATATTTTGTTGTACAGTTATTTTATTTTCAACTTTAATTTATATATTTTATCTTATTCTTTCCCAGTTAAATTTACCCTTCATTCTAATTTGTGTTGTACAGTTATTTCATTTTTAACCTTAATTAATATTTTATTCCTTCCTAGTTAAATTTACCCTTTTTAATTTTTCATATTTATTTCCTATCTTATTCATAGCCTTTTCCTTTTTGTTTTCTTTAGGTCACGAGCAGTTGTCCAAGCATTTCACTACATATCGTACTGTGTATGACTGTGTACGTGACAAATAAAATTTGAATTTGAATTTGAGATAACCTTAAAAATATTTTGCAGTAGAACAAAAACAGAAGAAAACAAAGAATCAACACATGAACATTACCTGATGGTGCTGAAGTGAAGCAGAACAAAATTACAGAGGTTTTATTAGAGACGCAGCTAAGCATTTTGCAATTTGACATAATTTTTTAAAAAGTTTAAATTTCTTTGGTATTGAACAGCAGAAATTAGGCTTTCTTGTTGGAAGTCATTTAAAAAAAGAGAAGAAAAGAAAACAGCGGCCGACAGTGTTGTGAACAACAGTACACTGGTGGTTAATAAGTAAGCAAATAATAAAGAAAACAGAGATTTGAGATGGGAAACTGTTCTTGAAATACACTGAGAGAAAAAGAGAGACAGAGCTGTGCAGGAATTGTGATTTTTATTGCGGTGGAAGCAAAGCAGCAAAAGTAAGAGGGAATTCATGACGATGTTTATGTGAAGCGTAGTTTTGATCTTCTTTTGGTGCTGGTTCAGTCAGTTTTGGTTGGACAGTGACAAAACCTGCAGCTTCAGAATCTGTGAGCTGTTGGCTTTCAGCACCGGCAGCGTGGCGTTGGGTGAGAACGCCGACAGCTCACAGATTCTGATGCGTCGGGTCTTTTTGTGGAATCCGTCTGGGATTCAGGTCTGGGGAACGGATGGGCCAGTCCATAGCATCAATGCCTTCGTCTTGCAGGAACTGCTGACACACCCCAGCCACATGAGGTATAGCATTGTCTTGCATTAGGAGGAACCCAGGGCCAACTGCACCAGCATAAGGGGTCTGAGGATCTCATCTCGGTCAGTCAGGCTACCTCTGGCGAGCACATGGAGGGCTGTGCAACCCCTCAAAGGAATGCCACCCAACACCATTACGGACCCACTGCCAAACCGATTATGCTGGAGGTTGTTGCAGGCAGCAGAACGTTCTCCACGGTGTCTCCAGACTCTGTCACGTCTGTCATATGTGCTCAGTTTGAACCTGCTTTCATTTGTGAAGAGCACAGGGCGCCATTGGCGAAGTTGCCAATCTTGGTGTTCTCTGGCAAATGCCAAACGTCCTGCACGGTGTTGGGCTGTAAGCACAACCCCCCACCTGTGGACGTCGGGCCCTCAGGCCACTCTCATGGAGTCTGTTTCTGACCGTTTGAGCAGACACATGCATATTTGTGGCCTGTTGGTGGTCATTTGGGAAGGCTCGGGCAGTGCTCCTCCTGTTCCTCTTTGCACAAAGGTGGAGGTAGCAGTACTGCTGCTGGGTTGTTGCCCTCCTAC